CGAGGTGCGCATGCTGACGACGTCGGAGCCGGACCCAGACTCTGACATGGCCAGGGCGCCGACGCTGGTGCCGGCAATGAGGCCGGGCAGGTACTTTTCCTTTTGCTCGGGAGTGCCGTTGAGCGAGATCTGGTTGATGCACAGCTGCGAGTGGGCGGCATAGCTCAGCGCAATCGACCCAGAGGCGCGCGACATCTCCTCCAGCACGATACAGTGCGCCTGGTAGCCCATGCCCAGACCGCCGTAGTCCTCGTCAGCCGTCACGCCTAGGAACCCCGCCTCGCCCAGCTTCTCCCACATTTCCATAGGGAAGGCATTTGTCTTGTCGGTCTTGGCGGCCAGCTCCTCGGGGATCTCGCGGCGGGTGAAGTCGTGGACGCGCTCGCGCAGCTCATCCAGCTCCTCTTGTGAGGGGGGAGTGAAGCCCTTGGGGTGCTTCTGGGAGTGCAACCGCTTCTGGCATGAGATTGAAGAGGCTGGTGACAGGCTGGCGGCCGGGCGAAGGGAGACGGACGGTCGCACAGGGCGCGCGAGTCTGGAGAAGGTTCTGAGGCTGGCCATGATGGAGGATGAGGATGGATGAAAGGGCGAGAAAGGAGAGCTGGCTAGCAGCGGCGTAATGGAGGAGTATGAGATGTGCGGCTCTGCGGAGAGTCGAGGTCGCAACGAGAGAGGAGCGCACTGGTTTAGTCGCAAGAAGAAAGACGGGAGTCAAAGACGAACGATTGCCAGACCGAGATGAAGCCAGAAACTGAGTCCAGATGCAAAGAAGAGACGAAAAGTGATGAAGGAGAAGGAAAAGAAACGAGACGATGCTGAGCTAAGAGCTAAGAGCCGTCGATGCAGCAGGCGCGACTAAGCCGAGGTGCCTTCCCCAGCTTCCCCAGCGGTAGCCTGCATCGCTCCTGCCAACGGCCTGTCGGTCCTTCGGCTTGCGCGGCTTCTGGCGGCTTTCCGCGGCTTGAGTCGCTGCAACAGCCGAACAACGTCAACGAGACCAGGCTTCGGCTGGAGAAAGGACACACGAGAAAACCAAACGTCTGACAAGAAGAGGGCATCTCGATTGCTTCCATCTCTGTTCTTTGCTCTCGTCTTCTTTTATCGCCAATTGCTTCGTCCGTCCGCCCCAATTGCCAGCATGTCTCTGTCCCGGCCCTGCCGCCAGGCCCTGCGCCTGTCGCACCAGCTGCGTCCCTCAATAGCATCACCATCAGCCTCACTTTCGTCACAATCAGCGACCTCCTCCTCACGGCTGCTGCGCCG